ACAGCATTCATAAATCACAATAACGTCAAGAAAACGAATGTCATTTTGCAACTCGTTCATTTCCATCACAACAAATGGACATGGCCTGAATCCTTAGGTAAGCGTCCACTTCATAAGAAAGTTTAGTGGCTGGGAAGACAGTGAGGATGCTAATATGTGTGTAATTCCGCATGAGGGACGAAGCAAGCAGACGTTTGATAGGGTATGACCAGCGTAGCATTTCAAGGCTACTCACTCGATGTTTGATTCCGCACCTTTTAAGTGCATTGTTCTAGGCGATCAAGAGGGAGTAGTGCCAGTCACTTCGAATGCGGACCCTGTTCTTCGGTTGACGTTTGCTGGATCGTATGCCATCATCTACCAGACTGATTCATTATTACTGTCAACTGGTAGGGTGATTACTTTGCTCCCGCAAACTGTGTGGTACAGCGTGGAAGACATTAACAATTCTGAGTGAAATCCCAGGTCTCTCTCACTGAAGCTTCACCTGCGTACGGCTCGTACGCAAGCCACGTTGCCTAACTGATGAAATTTATCTGGAAGGGTACTGATGAATCCAGTTTAGGCACAAAAGAGCATAGTCCCCGAATGGATCAGCCAATATCTTATGATAAATGTACATCTTCGATGAAAGATGTGCACCAAACATAGAGCAACTGCTTGCCACACAAAGCTCAGTCCTGAAGCCGAACATACCACATCCATCACTTCGCAAACGTACATGCAGTGTTTACCAAACAGAATCGATACTCCAGAAAACTCAGACTGTCATGAGACTGTGCTTTGTAACCACCACGGTTTTCATGCATGTGCACTGGTTTCATGATACTGGCTGATCGTCTTGTGTCGTATTACAAATGTCTGGTTAGACTTGCCATATTTCTAGGTCGTGAGGCAGTGGAATTCAGAGTAACAAGAAAAATCGTTCCAATTTTATCATGATTTATGGGAAACTGTAAGTGTCCCCCACCGACAGAATGTTACAACTGTTTCGGTACTCCTAGGTACATAATTATAAAATATAGATTATCAGAAGATTGCTATCTGGACGGATAACTGATATGAGTGGGAGCTGATAAGAATTTCGCCATACATATTAATTGTAGGTGAACCGAATGGCATTCAGATGAAACCTACAGTCAAATTACGGAGTAAAACATATCGCGGTCTACGAATGTTTAGACTTTACTCCAATCGGACCTTTCTATGGCATTACTGTATCCTGCTTAACCTCACAAGGTAATTAACCCGTTTCGAAATTCATTTAGATTTGTGGTTTTGGGTAGAAACTTACTGAAACTCCAGGTGCAAATTAAACAGCTCTCACACTTAGTGAATTCCACCGTCAAAAGAACTGGTTGGTTAGCACACAATTTCGGGATATGTGGAATGCGAGTGCTATGCCTAACCCAACCAACGATAACTGTTCCCGTAACCATTTACGGGTGTTTCTCATTCAGCACTGTCCACCTCGGAAATTCACTTAGACTGTCCACGTAAGCTAAACGTGCGTGTGTACCGTCCGATCCCGCTAGGCTTGACAACTGCACGCGGTGTCTGCGACCGCGCTGTGTCAGAAATATTCATTTTTAAGCAGCTGAGCGCTTTTCCATTATGATACCAAGTTGCGGAACGTGTATGAGACGTCGTATATAACAGTAGCTCTCAAGCTCTGTGACCTCTCGCTCACTTTTCAACATACTGAACAAGGTAGACCTCCGTTCAGTGTTGTCTAACTCAAAGGGCCCTTTTGGAGTTAGAAAACTGTGCTGCAACAGAACGGATCACATAAGTTTCAAATACAAGGTAATGTGAACACAACTAGCGTTGCTAAAGCCAATGCTGCGAGGCTGGTGGCTTTTATTTCACTTTGGGTTCTGTGCAAAAGGAAGAAAATAAAAGAAAGATAGAAACGAGGTATAATAATCTGCATTGTCGAGCGCCGGTCCTCCTGACAGCCGGCAAGTCGAGGTTGTTGGTCGAAGTGTTTATAGAAACTCGATGACATAGCGAAGCGTAAATCGTCCCAAACATTGGTTTCTTAGTAACTCAATCACCGAAATACTGCTTGCAACAAATGGTCCACTGAAACTGGCTTTACCATGAACTTACCATTAGCGGCAGATGGTTGGCTAGTACACTTAATTTAAATCGGATACTTTGCAAGAACAGCAGAGCTTAAACAAATGCAGACAGTTTTGGAAGAAACCAAGTAATTAGTCTTCTACAGAAAATAATATTGTTGACTACACTTTGTTCTAGATTGTGTATGTATCAGAGTTGAGATAAGCAAAAACTAATTAAACGTACTGAGGGACTTATCGGAGTTTTGAGTCAACTGTGGTGCTGTGCGCACCGGGCTTACAGCTGACAGCATTCATGACCTATACAGGTGTTTCTCTGGTATCAGGCGCCCAGTAACAATGTCTAATTGTACATATCCCTGGAGTGCGGTACCTTTGAGGGTTCTAGCACATCTGGGCTACTTCTGAGGGCGGCACGTTTGTTGTTTCACAAGGATATACTTGAACTAGACAGATGAACCCTACCACCAGAGTGTGTGTTATGATAATTTGTTTTTTATCGAGGGCTTTCGGGTTGCTCGAAATTCACGAAGGGCTTGCATTTCAGTAATTTCTGCTCTTTAGATGTACACAAGTTTTCCTGGGTGGTTGCGGAAATTTTTAACCCTTAGGGGGCATTGTCAAATTCCATGCTTCCATTCAAGAGTATGCTGACTTTCCTGCAGGACGCCGTCCAATTTAAACGACTAATGATCGGCCTTTGGGTCTCCAGATCTTTATTGGAAAAGAATGAGTTCATTCAAAACTATACACGGCTAGTTTGTCTTTCGGTTCGCTGCAGTAAGTATGATTTAAGACATGTATGTTTGTATAGTGTATAATTTGATGAACCTCACTTAAATAGGTGAATTTCCGTGTGCGAATGGGTACAGTAAGTATGGCTAAACTTATGGTGGTCTATCAAAGTACGCAAGCTCACAGTCCAGACGGAAATCTAGGAGGGTCAATTCAGCTACCAAGGGCATAGAAGAATTCGCAACTGTATCCATGACCAAGGTTTGGGATGAGTTGCGTTGTAAAAAGCATAATCACCGGACAACTAAATTAGGCTAACCACTTTCTAGAGTAAGAATTCAGAACATGAATGGGTTACGTCACGAACGAAAATAAATTTTCCCAGCTTACTTTTGGATATTTTGGTGATCAGTCGAACTTAAACACAAATCGTAACTTAAAGTGTGCTCTTTCATCGGGATTTCAGTGGTGATGGGAGTGAGCAGTACCTTCATAAAGGAAACTACTCACAAGGTTGCTGAAAATCTTCGACAGCCCACGACCGCTTTCACCCTCCTTGGGGCTCATCAGATAGGCGCAGTCCCCGAGTTTCCGTCAACCTTATGATCTACTTGAACAGTACTTGAGCAGTATCTTTTTGAAAAAAGTGGCGAGAAACCACTTTGGTTTTGCGACTGTGTCAAACTAGGTGTTCACCTGTCTAACGTGGATTATCATTAGACATTCTCAATGAATGAACTCATAATGAATGCGACGCTACTGAACCATGGGGTGTTTTCATCAATGCTAGAGAGAAGATAGTCCTGGAAAAAATTGTGTTTAGGCTCCAATCTCTGGCTGCTGTTTTCTATGTAGAGTGACATGATGCGCACCTTGTTTTGTTCATTGTAACCGGTTATCCTGAACCACTTTCCATGTGGAACGACAAGGAAAGACAATCAGCGGCCGCCGACCCGAGTTTGGCAATATCAATATCTCATTACCTTGCAGGGAGGAGCTCAATACGTGATACCGTAGTTTAGTCAAGTATCTTTAAGAACAAACAAAGGACAAACAAACACTTGAGTCCGTTCCCACATGTTTTTGGTAAATCGCTGTCTAAGCAAAGTGAATTTCGTTTTTCGATCCGCAAAAACTCTCTCACCATATTGCCTTGCGAAAAATCCTGCAGCGGGAAGTCTCAATATGTGGAATTTTTAAGGAGTTGTTGTACCCAAAACCTACTTAAGGGACTCGCAATTTGGTCAGCAAAATGCATTCCACCGTAAGATACTTCTTGAACTATTCCGGTGCATAAAGCTCAGATTTAGGATCTCTACTTCACAAAAGATTGTGCTCTGTCCCGGGTGCAAGCATTTTCTCGAGTTAAACGTGAACACTTGGTCGTTTGGAAGGAAAAAAATTTTACAATTTTACAGCTCTTTGTTGTAGCATCACACCGGCCCTCTTTATTTGTCTCACTGCAGAGTTTGATAGAACTGACTGCGTAAATTACGGTAAGCAGTTATGCACCATGTCATTGTGGTCGCTGTAATTGATTTGTTGAATTTACAATGCAATTGTCGGCAGAATAAGACGTTTCTATTAAATTGACGTGTTCTGTCACCATGGCGTCGCTTCCAAAAAGAGACGAAGACGGCAACGTTGTCTGAAGCTGGATGATTTACGATCCATTGGTAAATAATTATAATAATTTAAATCAGTGAAATAACCAAATCCATATATTTGAAATTCGAGGGGCGAGGAGTGGATATCACTTGAGTAAGTTTTGATGGAAGGAGGCCACATCTCACCTGTTGAAGTATCTACTGAATTTGAATTTGAATGTCACTCACAGACGTTCATGAAACCAGTACGTACAACGGATGCTTGAAAAGGTTTTGTCTACTGTGTCCGGTCCAAATGCATTGCCCAAATAATCTTTCAGTGTACTACTTGCTTCCGGTGTAGCAATGCGGAATCGTGATCCAGAGGTGAAATTCATTTAGAAGGTAAACTGCCGTGACAGATACCAATGAGTAATCTCACATGATAAATTCTGAATCTACTGACAAACATGTCAACTATCAATCAAATTATTTGTCTTGACCAGTGTATGATGAATAATAGATATTTTAACGGACCAGACTGCTCATACATCCACTCGTAAACTGTGCCCGTTACGAAGAGACTGGATCTTACCGTTGTGTGGCGGTTTGCGTACCTCAGTGATCCAACGAGCGACACTCACAGAGTCTCTCATACCAGGTTGATCAACGGTCAGAAGTCTGACAAACACAGTCTCCTGGCCCACCAGGTAGGGGATTGGAACATCTGACGACTTTTTCCGTAGAAAAATGGTTTGCATGATTAGACAAGTGAGCGGACTGTTCAAGCTTCAGGACCGTTGGGAAACCAATTGGCAATATCTGTTCAAATCCCTGGCTAACTCCTAGCTGAATGAGTATTATTGTGTGTGTGTGTACGACTCAACCAACGGTGAAACAATTACTAACGCGAAAAATCAAGCAATCGAACTGAAGCCTAAGAGATTTCGTGGTCCCGGCTCCTTGTGACAGATATCTATAATAGTACCCTTGCAGTTATCTTACCTTGGTTGTTGAAATTTACTTATGTTAAATCCATTGCATATGAAAGCAAAATCTGATCTTCCGTCCATTTTCGAAATTCCAGCCCAAGGTAAAATTACTGCAAGCACCTACTAGTTTTCTCGTCGATAGCTGCGTTGTATATTGTATACCCTGATGTAAGTTGCCCATTTGATTTTTGGACGAAACGGAAAAATGTACAAATGTAGGCTATTCGTTTGTGGACTTCATAGACGCTTCTGTACTGCCATTCATGGTGTTCTTTTCCAGCTTCTTGCTGAAATGGATGGCAAGTGAAGTTTTCTCTGAATATTGTTGAGAACAACTTTGCTACACTTCAAATTCAAATCACGTGCCTGACTGGGTGATGGCGCTCAGTATTCGCACAATGAAATTGAATTTTCGAAAGCTATGACGTTTCCCTAATGAACCGGGGCAATCGACCAATAAAGTTCAGAGTACTAGTCCAAACATTTGAGGCCAATTTAGGCATCCTGGGTTCTCAGCGATCCTGGGAAATTATTCCACCAGACTTTTCCACCAGAGATATGATTGCTTCACTGGACAATGAAACTCGGTGAGCTGCGAAAGCAGATAAGGGTGGTTTTTGGTTTGAGCACATATGCAGCAAAATGCAACAGTTTGGCACAGAAAGCTTTACTCTAATCGTAAAATTTTTGCAGTTAAGAACATTATGCGGCTAACGGCATCCTGCGTGACCAGTTGTCTCCACTAAAATCAAACCGCAAGTTTGATTCTACATGCTTGTTTGTACCCCAAATCTTAATCATTTATATTGTCCTTATTTTATACCTGTGAAAGTTTGTTGAGGATTAGTTTTGAGTGTTTGTGACTAACACACTTCAAAGACTACATGCGATATTCCGAAGATCAAAGGTGCATTGTTCGTCACAGGTTTGCGAAACACTGTCGATTGTTTACAGAGTGTATCTTTGAATCTCGATCCCTTTAAATACTACGTAGTCATCCTACCTACTGTTCTTCGACAGTTTTTCTACCCGAAATCGTTTGGATAAGAATTTAGCAACATTTTCTGCTGCCAAACTTAGCGTGCTATTGAACTCCACTTACTCACTCGAAGAAGTTTCCATTCACTCTGGCACAAAACATCAAATCTGTTTGCTGCATTTTGTTGTTGCCTTCGGCCTCTGAGTAATACACTGGAATATGAAAATATGGAGTAGCGGAATTCAGGTTTGCGAACCTCTTACATTAGACATGAGCACAGCAAACAAGGAAATTTTGAGAGTGATAACTACGTCAGAAGCGTACCTAACATAGTGATCGACTGACGAATATTACCATGTCTGCTCAAGTTCCAAAGGGAATTGATTGTATACTCTCGATAGACAGTCTAAAATCGATTTCTTCTGGATCGCCCGCTTTCAACCGAACAATTGATATGTTTGTTTGTAGCGTCCATACAGGTTTATGGGTTTCATTAATTCATATTCATAAGCTTTGAGACATCAACATTTGGAAAGTGATAAAGCTCCTGCAAAAATTAGGGTGGCATCATGCCAAAACAGTGCATTGGATCGCACGTTCTCAAAATAACTACGGCAGGTTCACTTCTGACAGGTGTTTTAAACGGTTTTCTATTTTTTTTGATCGGTCGGAAAACCGAATATTGAGCCCAGTCATGTTTGTGGCCCTGTTTTTCCGGTTGATGGAATTTTTCGAGGACCCCATAATCCTAACGCACATTTGATTTTTATTAGTTCTAGTGTACCCCAGGGCCGTTTCAGGCTGTTCCAAAAAACCCTCCTGGTTTAGCAATTCTACACACGTGAATGAGCTCCGCACTCACAGGCTAAGTCTTCAGTTGCTGTGGCTTGATCCCTAGTCAACCTCAAAGAATCAAGTTTCAAATCCGTCTTTTGTCCCGGCAGCAAGAGTATGCATCATCATTGTTCTTTTCTTCTGTGGGTGACTAACCATCTATGCTTCTCCGTACAGTGTTTGCTCTTCATGTTTCTCACTGAGTCTGGTGTAAAGGTATCTGGCATTATGTTCCATTTACAACGAACCATGCGAGAGCCCCAATTCGATCATCTTGGAGACAGTCCTGCAAACTCATCAGTGCACAGTGCAGTACTTAGCGTTTGGAAGTCACTAAGAAGGCAGCTTATTAGACGTATGCTGTCTACTATTGATCTCAGGCAGATGCCTGTCTGGTAGAGTTTCGCAGTCCATAAACCGTGGACAGAGTGTACTTTTAGAGTACAATCTTTACCTCGCACACTTTATTCATGCATAAATATCCCCAACCCTGTTTTTATTCGTTATCAACACAACTATTTGATTTCGACGAGAGATCTTTTGGGCCTACAAAAATAATGAGCGAATGTATAATGAACGAATAAAAACACCACGTTTCTGTCAAATATTCTATTAAACAGAAACTCTTCAGGTATGCAGATGTAAACAGTCACCTGTTAGCGCTGTTCAGCGAGCGGACAGTGTTTCGATGTGCATGTGTGGAGAACGAAGGATGGAGATAAGATAAGGGGTTAAGAACTCCTACGTCCAGCATAATATGTCATAGCAATCCACTCGATGTTCTTGTCCACCCCAAGGAAGAAGTGCAAACGTTTGGGTCGGTAGTGCTTTTCCGACACACATTTCATTGTTGATCTTCGCGCGTGCTACAAACAGGGGTGTGCCGTCTTTTTGTACCCCGGCTTGTACGGCGTTTTGAGGAATCCGCCCACCTTCTGCCGGAAGCCAATGGCAACTGTAGTTTAAAGCAGAGGTACAAAAGGAAAGTTTGTGTACCACGAAAAAAATCGGTTCGACATCAGCTGAAAAATAATCTAGCTGACAACCTAAACAGAAAATTTGACGAAAAAAGCCATAGGATAACTCTGGTTTCATGGAAGTTCACACCTTTTTGGTAGTTCACCCATCATGGAAAAGTTTGCAGAAACATGCAACGGAGTAGATACGGATGAATACCAACCATTCCGGCTCCGCTCATGAGATATGAAAACTATGCTTGTTTCAAGCAGCTCAGGGAATGAAACATTTTCAGTGATTTGTTTCCCCAACAAATTAGCGTTGCACCTAAAAGATACCTAATGTGACCTTGCATTCGGTTTTTTCTGTGAGCCATCTCGGACTAGCTTCAAATGGTTGCAATTTGGCTAAAAACTGTATTCTAGAAACAGCCTTTTGATGTTGAAATCAATTAGGCTGTTCGACTGTTACACAAGGGAATTGTCACACGACACCCTTAAACTTCTAATCAGACCTCCCGATTTTATCCGCAGCTCCAATCCAGGGAGAGAAGTCCGTACAAGAAAACCCCAAGGGGAAAACAAATAACTCTCTCTACAACTTTTGGACAAAGTTTTTCAATGTCTACATTTAACTGTGAGAAATCAACTGCAGAAAGACCGTACAAAAAACGCTTTACGCTTCCCGCCTCGCAGTTGCTATGCTACTTGAAAGTACTGCAGACCGAAAGCGAGCGAAGTGTTGCACAACTTTCAAACGCGTTCGTGTTTCTTTGTGGTCTTTCTTTGATTGAACTGGATGGGTTGAATAGCGAGCTAATGTGTGGAATGACCCAAATGATACAAGCTGACGGCTACCACACGGGCTTGTCATGTTGGTGCAGGAAGTGTACAAAGTAGACTACGTATGAGAACTTCTCTTTTACTCTGGAAACTGCTGAAATCCCAACCATTCGACCGACTGACTGAGCAATGCGTGGGAGACAGTGCATATAGGGAAGGAACACTTCCATCTCAGAGATGGTCTCATACCTCGAATGTGTAAACTTATGAGACCTACTACGGATAATAAGAAGCAAACGCCTAAACTTACAGTACAGCCTTGAAATCAGTGAATTCACTGGTGTTACAGATATTCGTTAACAAAGTTACCAAAGGATATGTTCAGAGTGGTAGTTAGCGTTACTCTCTGGCGCAGTTGGCTAATGGCAGTAAGAATCACCAGGCTAAGTAAAGCAAATATAAGGAGCTTAAAATCAATGAACGGGCATTCAAAAGATGGGAGCTCAGGCCACTTGCATCCCTTGAATTATCGCCTGTAAAGATCCCAAATCTATGCTTCATTATTTGTCAGCTCTTTCACGCGAGTTAGTTCAGATAAGCAAACAAAACATCGTGAGTTGGAGCACGCATTTGTCTTCAAGAAATGGCATCAAGAATTCTGTGCAAATATTTACCTAATGCTTCCTTTTTCTAGGAACAGTTGTTTCCTAAATAAATGCTCTACTGTTAGACAGTGGCGAGTTGTCTTTGCGTAACAACAACTGAAATCTTCGCCAAAGCTGAACAGTTTACTTCATTGGGAACTCCTGTGAATGTGGACCCAGCCGATCACACAGATGAGACAGAAGACGTGGTGGGGCCGGGAAAGGCCCGATAGGTTCAAGTGTTTCCAAAATCCCATCAAATATTTCTAACGCTCTCAAATTTTATGGAATAGAAACTCTCCTGTTAATCAACGTTGTCCATCGACGTTATTGATTTGGTGCAGTTTCTTAGTTTTGTCAGGTTGAGCGAATGGTGTCCATGCGCGGAATCAATATCCTGGGCTTTGTTGTTATCCTGTTCTCTCTGTAAAAACAGATACTTTAGCATCCACAACTAAAAGTTATTAAGCATTCTTAGGGGCGACTTTGACAGCGTAATCCACTTGTTGTTAAGGCTCAAGATCGTAGAAATCGTTTGAAAAAGTTGCCCACACAACTGAAACATCTTGTTTCACTAGACTGTGGCGTGACATTAAACGTTTCCATGCTTAGGTATGCTCAGTTCCAAGGATGACTCCACCCATTGAAAGCCAGAACAAAGTTTTCGCCGTTAGTCTACCAAAGATTATGACTGACAAGGAAGAACGATGCTTCATTTCACCCAAATAATTTGAACTCTATCTGATTTGGACTCTAGTGTTGACCGCAACCCGCTTTCGCCGAAAACTAATTTTATCTTTATTCAAGTAATCTCATGATCTTTCCTTTAGTTTCTGAATTACTAATGAAACTCTGTTGCCAGAACTGACCGGTCCAAATTGTTATATGCTGGTAAAATGCTGTCCAATACAATATATGTTTCATTACTTCGATACCTTTACTCTGGCTTATTCATTCTAGTTCAAGGATTTTCCTATTGGTGGAGAGACGTCCTTCGCTGTGTGAAAAATACATTCCCTTATGGAATGCTGCGTTGGATAGAGTGCTTTGAAAAGAGCATTTATGACATGTTTTGAAGGCAAATCTGTTTTCGGATCATCCTTGATTGGTTTGATGCACTTACTGTTTATATATGTGATCTAGAAATGCTTCGGCTACGCATATGTAAAGTCCGGAATACGTAGCTATGCAGGGAATTTTACTGACGCTGATAATACAGACAAACTTTTGATCTCATCGGTCGCTATACCACCTTCGCATAGAATGAGTACCGAGTGGAAAGGACTGAAAGTTTTTACACGCACAATCCTGAAGCCAAAAGCACAAAGTTCATCACATTGGTGACAGCCCGCATGTGTAAATCATCAGCTATGGAATGGAAACCAAGTATACTGTACCGGATTTTGAATTCGTGCTCACCGCCTACCCTCTCACCTTCGCCAGTCTAGTGTGACATAATGGCACAGTCACCCTTGATTTTCGTCAAGAAGTCAAGTAAGACATGTATCTCTTGTTTTCTGTATTAACTAATAGCCAGTAACAGCCAGTAACAACGAACCGCTTCGAACTTCTACTTAAATATGTTTGGAAATTCTGGATAAGAGAGCGTAGTACACGATTAAAAGTGTTCTAAAATGCTCCCGCTTAACTTTTAATGCCAAAAAAGATTGAAAGACATATTTGGACGAGTGTTATCTCTTGAGCTGGGGTACACTAGACCAAATTACCCTCAATTAAATACTACAGATAAGTATATACTTAATGCACCAGTCATAAGTTTGCTGAGAATCCATCAACAGCCTACAACCGGTTTTGCCCTTTCGGCGCTCATAAGGTAGGCACAGTCCCCGAGTTTCCGTCAACCCTATGTTCCACTTAAAACCAAATTGCACGAAATTGAAGAGATTCAGCTGGGTTTTGGGTAACTCTCTCGAAAAACCAAATTTGTTTGCAAATAGTTGTACCTCGCTAACTCCACAAGGAATACGGTGTACAAACTGTATCTCCGCTCAGTCAGGCAAATCCATCTTACTCTAGAAGCAAAAATTTCTGCTGCGGAGTAACAGAGCTGCGAAAGTGGGTATTTTTCACGTTGCAGGTTATTTTATAACTACGACATATTGGGCCACCTAGTTAACGGACTGTTAGGAAAGGTGGATTTGCTTGCTGTTACTTGTACTTGATTGTGGTGGAGCCTAGACTCAAGATTGTATTGAACATTTCCATGTTGATTCGGATGGATGATATATACTGATTGCTTACTGGTCCCATGATTATTCATTTATTCAGATGCGTCTACGACTAAATCTTCCACAGGAAGCAAGCAGTGCACTCTAGATTCACTGGAATAAGATCAGAATTGAGATATAGTTCTCCTACAGTCCACATGGTCTACACGCAGTTAAAATCTAGCACATAACGTCGGGCTTCTGTTTTGAAGGTGCACATTCACGTATACGAGCTGCGCCAAACGAACTGCTCAAAACGGTTGGTAATATGCGGCCAGTCCACATTCGGGCAACGGTTTAATAGTTTGCGGCCATCGCATTCATACAAATGGCTTTCGACTGTAAATTAAGAATAACATTATTCGATTCCATCAGTTGTCAGGTTTCTTCGGGCAACTGTTTTCAGATCAGTCCTAATCTTATTTGACAATCTCATGTTGGCTTATTCTACAGATGAACGACAAACTCACTACTAATTTGATACTACCCTGATCTACCTTTGGACCTACAGGTACACGTTGTCGGACTCACCGGTTCAAAACTATTTATCATAAGAATTGCTTACCTTGCTTTTCCCGAGTAAAGACCTGTATCACAGAGTACCTCAAAAGTGGTCACTTCAACCTCCAAATCATGGAATGGGAGGTGGGCAATGTGCCCAATATGGAGTGGCCACTTTCCTGGTAGCACGTCATCTTGATGACGGGCTCGAATCACATGGATTTCTTTTTCAGCCTCCACAGCGTGAGGTGGTGCTCTATCACCTTTGTAGATGGGCAGCCAAGACAAACTGGCTTCTCTGTAACCTAGCATTTGTTGGGTGTTCTAGTCTGAATGAAAACGAATGAAAAAATAAACAAAAACTACTTTGAAACTATCATGAATGATAACACAGGTTTCATGCAGTGGTTATAGGGACATACCACACCCAGACACACAATCGTGTGCCTAAAAATTTATATCTCACGGGATCGGATACAGTATAGGTCTGGCTCTCCTACTTACTTCCCTATATCGGATAAGCGAAACCGCGAAGCATAAACTCCCGGTTTAAAAAACAAAAAATGAATATGTCGGTGTTTAATATACAAAGTCAAGAAAAGCTAGCATGATGTGTACTATCTTGGCCCACCCCAAAATCAGGATGAGTGTAAAGGGAGACGAAAGCGGGTCTCCTTTCCTATCATTCAACCACTGAGAATATCAGATCAAAAATGATGTGAAACAGTTCTCAAATGCACAGAAACTTGTTCATCATATTATTTGGAAGATGTAGTGTTTTTTTGAGTGTGTGATTAATTACAGCACAAGTTATACGCTATAGAACAATATGATGTGAATCGTACGTAAATGAGTCTGGGGTAGAGTAATCCGGCCATGCTATCTCAAGAGGCCCGGAGGCCTGTTTTTTACTCTTTAAAAATTTTCTTCCACAAGGATGTGCCAAAAGTTTTTTGTTGGTGTGGAGTGATTTTTAATGGAGGTTTCTTGCGGTAATTGAAGCCAATCTATTCTGAAGAGCCGAGAAGCACTGTCTAGCTGTTCCATCCTTAATGGACGTCCTAGACATTGCACATCTCACGAAAGCTCATGAAGTTTTGAAACCGAATCTTCTCGGCCTGTAGGATGGCGACGTAACTGTTTGGTCACAATCGACTCGTCGACAGTGTGATTAGTTAGCACTTAGACGGGATATGGCATCGCCGACGGTACCCCCATCGTGTGGTCACATATTTTGACTGGCTCTTCGAGTGATAACATACATACATACCATCATATGTCGAAGGCTAAGTGGACCATATTCATGTCCACAGTTTACTTAGATCTAATCATGTGAAAAAGCAGATTAGTACACAATTTGAAATCAATTGTAACCTAACTTTTTCCTCCTCAACAATCTCGACCTTTAGTTAGTTTCCTCTGGTTCTCCCTGTTGAAAGTGAACGATTTAGACCTGTAAAGTGCAGCTTGATGCAATATTTGCCCCAAGTTACCCATGCAGTAAACAATTTGGTTGGTTTTTCTCCTTAGGCAAAAGTACGAAAGTGTATAATGTAGTGCACTACTACCTCCACCAAACGGCGTTTTCTGTAATGACTCCCTATCCAGTATGAATACGTGGCTACGCAGACACTGTATGTGTTTTGTTCTGCATATTACGGCCAGCACTGTAGCATAACCGAATTAGGTTGGCATTCCTGCAGGTCAGCACATTCAAAGATTTCACCTCCACAAAGCCCGCTAGCGAACAGATTTTGGACGTGAAGAATAATTGATGCGAGG